AAAGTGTAGACGTGTTTCATAGTGAGGCGAACTACTTCCACCTTTTTCCCTCAGCTACGTGAAGGGATACCGTCGATCCGTGACATGTTTGATTGTGGCTGAAGCAATCCGGTCCTTGAACATAGAGCTGGATTCGCTCTCGGAATCTTTCAAGGCCAGCGCTGTAGGTGCCAAATTGTGAGTTTGCTGTTCCAAAGGTTGAGAGGCCACAAAGGGCGCGCGTAAGAAACCTTATGCGCACCCTTTGTGGCCTCTCAAACTTGTCTTGGTAGGGGTTGTGCTGGCTCGTGTCTTACAATGAAACTATGTGGCAACTACTTGTGACCTGAATTGGATCCTGGTCGCTCCAGACTTCCATGCAAAGCGTCTACATCACTGTCGCGGACTACAAGCATGTGCAAGACCAAGTTCTTGCCAGCAGAGGCCAGTCAGTACACGTGGCTATAGACTAGTAACTAGTAGAGAATTACTAACTCATCCCATGTGTTGAAGGCATCTCTATGGGAAGCGCTCTTAGAAAGAGTCCACATTGCTTCAACTTCATGCGGCAAATGGAAGTTCTTTCGCGAGCTCATGTGGAAGAGGAGGCAGCCAAGGCTCCTGGTCAGAAGTGTACCAACAGGTTAATTTTCCTCGTCAACTTCACGGCGCTCATGTGTGGATTTCTGTATCTATATATAGTATATACATATAGTATTATGTAGGTGGGTTGATGCAGCCACGTCAAATCAGGCCTGGGAAACCGCGGCCCAATTGTCGAAGGCGTATAGCATCGGGAAGCAGGAAGCTTCAGCGGTGTTCCAGCTGATCAACCGTGTGCCTTCGCCCGTTGTGAGCGAGTTGATCAAGGCAGTCAGGACAAGGGGCATGCGCCCTTTCATGAATCACGAAACCATCTCGAAGGAAATCTTTTCAACGGCATACAGTTCTGGGACCGGAACAATTTCTTCGTGGGAAGGGGCTCTGACCAACTTGGATGACGGCCAGCACACACTGGCTACTAAAATGATATCAGCTTATTATTGTTTTTTTTTGCTTTGGGGGTTAGTTGGCAACTGCCACATGCGGATCTTGCGAAACCTACAGTGGTTTTTGCGAGGTCATGCTTCTGATTCAGCGCATGTGCGCTGACTGGGACAAGATGCACCCTACTCTGCGCAAAGCGTGGAATGCCCGTGACACTGCGAACCTTCACGCTGTGTGCGGGGGTTTCTTGCACTATGTCGGCCTGTTGGAAAAGAAGATTGCGAAGCATGACTTTGATACCACGATTGCTGGTATCCAGGAGCAGTTCATGTCGGGGCACCTTGACATTGACATCTCGCATGCTATGGAGAGCAGCCCTTTCCCAGGTCAGCTTGAGGATGTTGGCTTCCTCAGGAGCTGGTTTGGGAGTGTTGTTGAGGGGATGTTCTTTCAAATCATGGTGTCACAGACTTCCAACTTTGTTTTTTCTACCCACGGGCGCCAGGTATTTTTTCAGTGAAATCGTTGTGGGCAGGTCCGTTTCTTTGGACATGCAGCGGCGAGAGGCTGCTGAGCTTGAGGCGCAGGACAGGGACCTACAAGACAAAGTTCAGTGGGCAAATCTCAACCATATGAAGGCCAAAGTCGAGCAGGACATCAAAGTGCTGAAGGAGCAGTGCAAGCCGTGCAAGGATCGAGAAGCGAGAGAAACTGCTTTGGACATGCAATACTTGCAGTCAAGGCAGCAGACCCTCAGTGCACATAATTTGAAAAACATGTTCCTATGCTGAGGGTTTTGTGTGCGGGTGAAGTCTAGGCGCTTATTTAAAGTCTAGTCGTTTTTTGATTAGCCACCGCCTCAGGAAGGGGCAGGCCTATACCCGGCAGTGGATGGAGGCAAACTCCAGGTTCATTGTTGTAGATGACAGCATGACGACTGCAATCAGAGACCTCACAGAGCTTTCCAGCCGTAAGGGTGAAGGTGGTGGTGATGTGTCTCTCGTTCAAAAGTTGATTCCTTTTGCTTTGTTTGGGGTCCTTTTGTGGGCTGCCGGTTGGCCCGTCGATGGGGGCAATTCGGGTCCAGCAACTTGCCAAGTTGCTGTGGTGAGGTACGTGCTTGTGCTTATGGACGCGACCGTTTTCCCAGCCAATGCCAAAGCGTTGAGTACTTCTGTCCAAGTACTTTCCACAGTTTTGTCTATGAATCCCCGCTGTCATGGTGCTCATGTTCAATTGCCACTCAACCAAACCAACACGAAGCCGACAGCTGTGATCTCCCACCGACGAAAGCTGGAGGATGCATTGGTGACCGCTCGCATGGACACATCTCGTGATGTCATTTTGCATTTTGCAAGCCCTCCTGACTCCACAGCCTCCGACAAAAGGGGGGGCATTCAATCATGCTTTGCTGTGACCCAAGATTCGAAGCTGTGCGCATGGAACTTCCCGCAGGTGATCACACCCATTCCTCTGGTAAGGGTGGCCGACATGCTTGGCTATGATGAAAACTCCAAGCCTAGCCCCAGTGCTCGAGCTGAGCAGAGCCTGTATGTGAGTTCAATGTATTTTTTCACTGTTTGATCCTATTATTTTTTGCCACCTGTCCATTTTTTTGCTGCGGGGTGTCATTCCCTGAGGAAAGGTTTGGCTGCGCATGTTCTGATCTTGGAAGCCTACCTGCAGGGCGTCGCGTTGAAGGAGAAGGACGAAGTGGTGGTCTTCGACGTTTTGCCAAACAGGCCCTCCCAAGACTTCTTGTTGTTTGTATGTTTGTATCGGGAAGGTAGCTTCGACCACAATTGAATAGTTGTAGATTTTAGTGGTTCAATGTTGAAGAATCAAGTCCATTTCGTTTGTTTGTCATCCTTTTGTTACCGTCTGCCGGGTTCAGGTGGGCCGAATTTGGCCGTGCCATTGTGCAGCAAAAGCTGACTGGTTCAAAGATGCAGAATGTGAGCTACCTTGGGCTCTTGAAGGACTCCCAGCAGGATGTTGTCCCGATGGTTGAAGAAGTGGTCTACAACTGGTGGGACCAGTCCAGCCATGCTCCGCCAAAGAGGCGGCCACGCGACCCGGCTACAATTCCAGACTTGCGTGTCCTTCGCTGGGAGAATGACAGGCCAAAAGTTCCGCCTGGAGTCTTAGACAAATTTCCACGGGGAAGTGAGCAGTACAATGTGCTGTCAGAATTGCTGAACGAGTTGAAAGTCTTGTGGCCGGACGCGGATGACCAATCTGCTGTTACTGCTCGGCCCCAGAACATGACCAGCAGGGCAAACCCTTCCAACCCTTCCGCCCGAGCCACTGGATCGCCGGACTTCACCAATTCAGATTTGCTGGATCTTGAACGAGAAGTTGATTTGGTGAAGATACCCTCTGAGAGCTTTTCAGAAGAGAGGCCGGGGCTTCCACCAAATTGTGTTGATATTGAAACAGTGTGACATAGTGTGACCATGACCGTTCACCGAATGTTGCAGATGGCAGGTTGGCGCTTTGTCCTGGCAAATCCGGCCGCCCGTCCATTGTGATCTCCAAGACCTACGGGGTCTTCCTTGGGAATTTCACGACAGAGGAAATGCTTGTCAAGCCAGGTGAACTGTTTGGCTTTAATACCGGAGCATTCCAAGTGCTCATCATCCGTGGTGCCTTGGCTTTGCTAGGTTCTTTTAAAATACATTTTGCTAGGTTCTTTTTGCCTCGAGGTCACTGCCATGTTTGCTTGTAGTGGGACCTTTTGAGCCATGAAGGTAGTGGGCACCAAGAGACGGCTACATTACCTTGGAGGCTTGCCTCCGACATGAGTTTGGTGGCGCGTGAGAAGCAATGCATGCCACTGTGCACGTTTCTGTGCAAGATGGCTCGTGAGCGGGGCCTTGCAGATTTCACTGTGTGGGATCATGAGATCGAGCCGAAGACAAGGACAGTTCCTTTACGCTCTTTAGTTGCTGCACGTTGCTGTGTTGTTGACGTGTGAGTTGGTGCACCGAGAGATTGGCGTGTAAGGTTACTGAGAATGGCGCTGAGTCGACGGTGACTGTCCCATTCCGCTACAACGTGCGTGTTCCCGACTCCAACAAGTGCAATTGCTTCAAGCCAAATGCCTTGGTGAACCCAGACACAGAGGCTCACAAACCTGCGAGCCTTGGAGCTGTGTTCGTCGGCAACCTGAACCACGTTTTGCGGCAAGAGAACTGCAAGCATGCAGCGTTGGTCTGGGAGGCTGCGCCCGCTTAGTGTTCCGGTGTGGTTGTTATATCCGATTTGGCAGGCCTTCTTTGTCTCTAAAGTCATGCCTTCTGGGTAGACAGGTAGACAAAGTGTGTTGGCGAACAGCGCTGAGCTCTATTTTTTAACATCAAAATGACAGAAATAACTAGCCAACCGCCTAGCTGCAGTGTCCGATTTCGAGTCTTCAGACAGGGGTCCCAGTCCAGCAACCAAAAAGGCCCTACTGGAGAATAGAGATTTTGGTGTAAAATAGAAGACATCGACCAAGTAATTTAATGTGTAAACCAGTAGGCAGTTGTCAAATGCAGCGCCCGCGCATTTTGCCAAGGGGGGTGAGAATGAAAAAGATTCGTGCTGTGGTAAAAGAGACAGTGATATACTTAAGGTGTTCAAAACCTTGGCCACGTGTGTTATTTTCTTTTGGAGTATGATGTTGCAATCATATGTTCAAATGGTCGCAGTTACTGCTGCTGTTACTGCGCCCTTGATGCCAATCTTGCCACAGGTTCAGATCCAAGCGGGTGGTTCGACACCGAAGGTCGTTCCCTTGAAGCCAAAATTTTACCTTACCAGCAGTGTGCGCTTGGCTCCCTCAACTTTCGTGAAGTGGTGAGCCTTACGACTCGAGTGCTTAAGGCTGTGCTCACAGCGCAGCATGTGTGATGCTTTGCAGAGCTGTTGGAGGAGGTTTCCTTTTTTGAGCCTCCCAAGATGGTTCCTAACTTGACTCAATGACCATAAATGTTGGTCTTATTGTGAAAGTGTTTCTCAAATTGTTTTCTCCCGGCTGCAGCTCTGCATTTTGAAGTGTTTGCAGCTAACCTCAGCGAATGGTGGTTGCTGAATTTTGTTGACGTGCTGGCAGTTCTGACAGGGTCATGTCGTTAAATAGCAGCAGCAGTAAGACTAGAATGCGTTGCGGTGCAAGCCACAGACCACTTCCAGTGAGTTTTTGAATTCTGTGAGACGCGATGAATGCGCCGGCTTTGTTTCCTCGAGTCTGCGTTGCGTAGTGGCCCCCGTACTGACTTGCAATTACCACTGTTGCTGGTGATTGGTGCCATGGGTGATGCCTTGCCAGCACTTACCAATTTGAGTGGGTCAGAGGATGAGTGCCAGGACCCCTCAAAAGTTTGGGTCGGCTTTTGAACGATGGAAGTTTGTGGTTTCTAACGGCGTTCCCCAAAATCCCCGTGCCACGTGCAGCAGGATCCAGCCGCTTCTGCTGCTGCAGCAGCAGCTGCTGAAGCAAAGCAGAAAGCCAAAGCAAAGCCTAAAGCCCAGCCCAAGAAAACCCTTCCAAAGAAGAAAACTACCAAGGTTCAACAGGCAGGTACAGGAGATGAACCCGCCCCGACCAATCCAACTGTGAAGCCGAAGCCAAAGGCTAGCCCGAAGGCCAACGGCAAAAGCAAAGCAAAAGCGCAAGCAAAGTCGAAGTCGAAGGCGGACACCCCAACCACACCAGCCCAAGAGCCTGCGCCTGATGGTAACGATGCTGAACAACCTGAGCCCATTGCCATGAAAAGGCCGTCAGCACTCAAGCGTCCAGCAGCCAGCCAGCCAGCAGAGCGAGCGCAGAAGCAGTCCGTTTCAAGCGTTTCTGTTGAACTAGCAGTTGTTTTTTGTGATTCGCCGCTTTAATGGGCAATTGATAGTTTCAACAGCGTGCTATTGTCTAGTGAGATCATCGTGTGTTTTGTGCTTTTGTGTTTTCGCGTATTGTTCGGGAACAACGCATAGACTTTAAGGTGGCCATGCTGCTGGGAAGATCGGTCCAGTTTACTACTACAAGTATAGCAACACTTTTGCATTCAAAGTTGATGGCAAGCAACTCGTTAGTATGGGTGGCAAGTATTTCGAGAAGCAGAAGATTCGCGATGCCATTGCCGCTTGAAATGTGTTTTAACACTGAAATCTGTTGAATATAGCCTAAAGTTAAAAGGGATGCCACGCAAGTGTGCATGCGTATGCACGTACCTTCATGATCTTCACGGTATTCAAAGACTTCTTCTGAGCTTTGTGTGTGGTTTTAGAACTAATTTCATGGGGCGCTGTGTGCTTCAAAACACGCCGAGGATGTTGTGAGAGACCAAATGGTTGCAGGGCAGACCATCGAGTATTGCCAACAACTGGCAGTGTTTTGCTTAGTTTGGCACCGTTTCGGAAAGCAAGTCCACCTGCTTACTGTTTTCCAGCTCGCGCCTTGAACAATGAAATTGTTTGAGGCCAGCTTGACAGAGCAGCTCCCACGGTGCGCTCAAAGCCAGGTTGAATGTGAAGGATCCACTTTTTGCGCCCCTATGAAACCAAAAAGTATGAAATGACATGACATGAAATGAAATGAAAAGTGTGGAATGAAATGAAAAGTCTGACGGTGTGACGGGAGGACCTCCTCAGCCCGAAGCAGCCAGCGCTTCCAAGCCAAACGATGCCGAGACTGGGGAGTTTGACGATGTGGAAAAAGAGGGAGGGGAAGAGTCTGACGCGGTCGAAGACAAGCTCGTTGAGGAAGTTGACTGACTGCCCTGTGTAGATGTGAGCTGACGAATGGCAAAGTTCATGTCAACTGACTTACTGCCAGCGGACTTGAGACGGCGTGCCCAAAACAAATGTCAACGCGGGAGGTGCCTACGGCAATGCGAGTGTTCAAAAAAAAATCGATTAAACCGTAAATAGAACCCATAACACTTGGCAACTGAAACCGTCCAATCGGTTGATGGTGTTTGGATGAGGTAGCCCCGTAGGGTTTGGTGAGAGAGGTGCTTTGCAGCAAGTTGTATATTTAGTCAGCGACACCGTGCATTTTGGGTGAAAATTTAAAAAGTGAAAAGTGGCTCAAGTTCGCGTTTTGGCTCAAATTGGGCAGGCGCATTGTCTTGCTTGGCCTGAAACGTTGCTGGCGTTCCTGTTGTCACGTTTTGGGTCGGGGTTTGACCTGTACGTAATAGGTCAGCGCTGACGTGAAAAAAACCGTTACCTGTTGCCCTCAACAGCTCCCCTCGTTCCCTTCCCCTGTTCGCAGCCCTCTTGAATTTGTTTGACGGATTATCGTTTCACCAGCTGAACGTTTCTTGTTATTATTCACACGTCCGCAGTTGTGCGTCCAGCACCCTGGCCCCAAGTAGCAGCAGCAACAGAATGACTCCGTTTCCGTTTTGTTTGCTGGCGTTTTACGCCTAGTCGCGCCCACAACGTTAATGATTGTAAACGACAACGCTGGCCCAATGTTGAGCAAACTGAAAGCTGGGTTCTTGACCGTCCATACTACCCACAAGTTGTGCGAATGTCGCTTCAGCGTGCTAAGACCCAAGCCTACATTGCCAAGGCCAATATCATCATCCCAGC